AAAGAAAGAAAGAAAGAAAGAAAGAAAGAAAGAAAGAAAGAAAGAAAGAAAGAAAGAGGAAGGGAAAGAAAGAAAGGGGAAGGGAAAGAAAGAAAGAAAGAAAAAGAAAGAAAGAAAGGGGAAGGGAAAGGAAGGAAGGAAGGAAAGAAAGAAAGAAAGAAAGAAAGAAAGAAAGAAAGCTTTTCATTGTGTCTGCCTTCCCTTGCCTCAAAACAACCCACCGCCATCCCTGTATCGTGTTGCTTGCTTTCCTTTGGGGTTTGCTTTGTCACTTGTTTTTTTTTAAACAAGCCATGGAATCAGAGGTTCTTGAATCAAGGGGGATGGGTTCCTTTTTTTTAATCTTACAAATGGTATGATGCAAATTTTCTTTCCACCCCTTCTCCCTTTCCTGCCCTGTGCATGACTGTCCCATGTCCCTTGTAGGCATGATGGCCTTTCTGATGTCAGTCCCTGGATTTCCTGTGCACCTCACCCAAGCGCCTCAGCCTGCCCGTGCCCATAGAGCCTCTAAAAAACTCTGCTCAGTTAAGGGAAGGAGGAGAGTGGTCACCAAAGGTAGCTCTCTGACTTGCTTGGACTCCCCGGGAGTCTCCTTCAGTTGCCGCTGCTGCTTCTCTTGCCACCTTTGCCGCCTCTTTTCTCTTTCCTGCCCTGCGTTTCCTCTTCCTTATTTTTCTGACTTCTCCCAGAAACAGTGTGATGAAAAAAAAATAATGGCTTTGGTTACTCTTTCTACTAAGGCAGGGGTGTCAAACTCGATTTCATTGAGGGCCGCATCAGGGTTGTGTTTGACCTCGGGGGCTGGGGTGGGCGTGGCTAGCTTGACATCACCCGTGTCTGTGGTGTCCTGATCACTCTGCCAGCGAAAACAGGCTCCTGAGCTCCGTTTTTGGCCGCCAGGGCCTCCTGCCGCCCTCTGCCAGTGAAAATGGAGCTTGGGAGGCGGGGGAGAGGAGGCACGCGCAGCCCTCCCAAGCTTTGTTTTATCTGGCAGAGGCACCGCAGGCCAGCCCTTCGCTATTTCCAAGGCGGGTCAGATTCGGCCCACGGGACTTGAGTTTGATACCCCTGTACTAAGGCCTAGCTTTCCTGTTGCCCGAGAATTTTGACGCAATTCTGCTTTATATGCTGCTGCTTTGTAGGTCTTATTTCTCAGCATCAGCATGATCATTTTAGCAGTTATGAAGACCACCCACGTACCCAAATAGAGAAGCCAGCTGTGGCAAGGGCCCCCCCACACACAAACTAAATGGAGAAACATGGTAAGGAGAAGATGTGATAGAGTAGTGCCTATACAGGTGACTCTTGCTTAACAGCCACTCGTTCAGCAACTGTTTGAACTTGTAACAGCACTGAACGAGTGGCACTTACAACTAGTCTGAGGAATTCTGACTGTTGCAACATCCCCATTGTGATGGGGTTGCCGCTTGCAGCCTTCCTTATCAGTTTCCAACAGGCCAAATCAATGGAGAAGCCAGCAGGAGGTTGCAAATGGCAGCTACATGAAGTCCTTGCTTAACAACGGCGGCTGCTGGAATTGCCATTGCTGAGCAGCACTGTCACGTGAGACTGCACTGTTTGTGATTGTTTCGCTTAGCAACGTCTACTCCAGTTCCGCTTGCTGCCAATAACCGAGGACTGCCTATATAGACTACCAACGGACATTAACATTGCATTTTATTAAACTGTTTGCGTCATTTATTTCTATGCAGTTGCAGCTTGAAGCAATTAAAGCAGAATTGTTAAAAAAAACAATGGGAAAAGATTTTTAAAATGGGGGAAAGAAAAGATAAAACTGTTCATGCAACATTTGTTCATCGAAGGCATTGCTGAAGGAACATGGCAACTGAAGATGTAATCACTACTGACTACATCTGGTATTAAAATGTTTTTAGGGTTTGAAGCTTTTTGAACTTAAAATTTTATTTTTTCTTCATTAGAATTTTAAATTAAAATAATTTTGCACCAGTCGTTGCCGAATCCTCTCTATATGATTTATGCATTTGCTTACAATACTACATTAATTAACCTGTGGATTCCTTACACAATATCCAGTGATGGGCCACTAACGGGTGGCTTTAGGGTAGCGATGGTGGACCTTTTTGGGCACCAAGTGCCCTAACTGCAATGCGCGTGCATGTGCCCGTGTGGTCGATGTGCGTGCCAGCTGATCTTTGGGTTTCTGGCACACATGCACACCGGCCAGGTGGTCTTTGCTCGCGCGTGAGCACTGGAAACTCGAAGACCAGCTGGCTGGCCTGGGTTTTTGGCCTTTTCCAGGCCATACTCCGGCGCCTGTGAAGATGCATGCCGGAAACCAGAAGGGCAGCTAGTGACGGCGCCACAGAGAGGGCTCTGTGTGCCACCTCTGGCACACCATCACGGCTTTAGGGGATGAAATAAATTGAATACCGTATTTTCACCCATATAACCCGCCCACGCAAATAACCCGCCCACGCAAATAACCCGCC